AAGGACAACTCAGGCACGTTTCCCAAAGTCTCTGGCCCCAAGTAGCACATGGAGTAAGTGCTGATTCTTTGGAGAGATTCAGTAATGTTTTTTAAGCATCAAGAGAATTGTGCAGGGGAAGAAGGTAGTGATTCTGGCCATTCCGGTGTTTCTCGGGAGGTGGTGGAAAAAGCCCATTTCCTGAAGTCAGAGCTACAGACCTTGGGGCCCAGGCAAAGAGGCACGGGGGCAGGAAGGAATCTGAGGCTGGGAGGACTAGCTCTAATCAAGGGGCAGGACCAGACAAAGCCCTTGGGACGGGGCAGCTGTGGGCGCAGAGACCAGGCGGGAGTGATCAAAATGCTGCCCGTTAGTAGCTCTCCTTACACTGTACAATTTAAACGTTGCAAGATGCCCTATTACCTATATAATAGGCGGGTTTCCACCCTTTATTTCAGGGTTAACAACGTCCTTAACGAGGGAAGTCCTAACGGTTTGTACTAATTATAAAATAATACATTGGGCTGGCATGGTTAAGTACTTAGAGTACTTTAGGCAGTTAAGTACTTTAAATTTTATACAGAACAAGTTTCCCCCCAAATTGTTTGGGTATAAATGCTGGAAAGTTTTCATTATATTGAGGACAAGAGAATAACGAAGCCAGCTGGGAGCTGAGATTGGTTTAGTTGCCGTTTCTAAGGAGATTTTTTTTTTTTCCCGGAGATTTTTCCAAAAGAACAATGCTTATATGCCTAATTTGAACCACATGTTAAACCTGGACCACATCCAGTTGTGTGTATGTATTTCTTTCAACCAAACGTGAACGTCTGTGTGTAGGAGCCCAGGATTGCTAATCACAGCCCCATCCAGTCTCGTTGATTACATTTTAGAGTGGCAGCACCCCAACAAAGTCCCAGGAAGGTGCGCTCCATTCTCATCTCTTATCAGTGTTTCATAGAGAAAGGAATTTTCAGAAGACAGATTGAGAATATTAATTTGGGGTTCTCATCTCTATTTAAGGAGCCCTGGTGGCATGGTGGCACAGTAGTCACTTGCTGGGCTGCTACCAACAAGGTCAGTAGTGTGAACCTAGCAGCTATGCGGAGGGAGAAAGACTTGTTTTTTTTTTTACTCCCATAAAATGACAGTCTCAGAACCCCACAGGGGCAGTTCTACCCTGTCCTATGGGATGACTGTGAGAATTGACTTGATGGTAGGGAGTTTTTTTACTCCCATAAAATGACAGTCTCAGAACCCTACAGGGGCAGTTCTACCCTGTCCTATGGGATGACTGTGAGAATTGACTTGATGGTAGGGAGTTTGAGGGTTCCCCCCTCCCCCCCCCTACATGTTTGGCTGCTCACTGCCAGGTCAGCAATTCAAACCCACCAGCCACTCCTTGGGAGAAAGAGGTGGCTAATGGCTCCCATAAAGATTAATTCTCAGAAACCCACAAGAGTAGTTCTCTTCTGTCCTACAGGGTTGCTGTGAGTCAGAATCAACTCACGCTTGATCATTTTGGTGCAGTGGGGTATAAGCATTGAGCTGCTAATTCACGAGCCGTTCTTCAGGAGAAAGATGAAGCTGTCTGCTCCCAACAAAATTTCCAGTCCTAGGAACCCTAGGGAGCAGTTCTCCTCTGCCCTATAGAGACCCTGTGAGTTGGAATCGACTCAATAGCAGTGGGTTCTAATTTATTTTGATCTTGGCCAGTATAAGAGTATTGAAATAACTAGGTCTCAGGCTGTCCAAATCCCTT